GTCCTCTCTGCCGCTGGAGCTTGGAAAGGCTGACCTGGCCTTGCCCCCCGAGGTTGGTCCTTCTTCTTCTTGCTATCACCCTGAGTTGAGGGCTCTGTCTCCCTTTTTCTTTTCTTAAGGGCCTGTTCACCTTTCTAGTTGATCTCCTCCTCCGTCCCTATAAACTGATCCGCGAGCTTGAGGAAATCGGTCACAGTCTTGGACAGATTAACAACCACATGCCACTTGAATTCCTTGTGCGTGATGCCCCTCTTGGCCGTAGTGAGCCAAACTCTGGGGTCCATATCCGGTATCTGCAGACAAGCGTCATTGAACTGCTTGACATAACTCCGGATGGACTCTCCCTCCTTCTAGACTATGCCAAGGAGGCTCTCTTGGGTTCTGGGGCACCGCTTGCTGGTGACAAAATGAGAAGTAAAGACTTGCACGAACTGTGCCTGGCTCCTTATTGATCCAGGCACAAGGTTCTCGTACCATGTGCGGGCCACCCCTTTGAAGGTGGTGGAGAAAGCCACACACATGCAGGACTCGCTGGCCCTCACTAAGTGCATCTGGGACTGGAAGGCGTCAACATGGTCATTCAGATCGAAGGATCCGTCATACTTATCCAATGGGGGAACTTTAAAGTCCTTGGGCATAGGAACAACAAGGAGTTCTAGAGATAGGGGGGATAGAACTGAGAGAAGTGGAGTAACTTTTACTTCACCCGAGCTTACCTCTTCCTTACCCTTGAGCTCGGGCAGGTCGTGACTAGTAGCTCGGCGAGCTCGGCGATGCCTCCGCTACTTCTTTGTTGGATCGGCGTTAGTGCTACTGGCCTCTGTATTACCGAGCTCGATGGGCCCAGGGAGGGGCTCAGACTGTTGTTGGTAGCTGCGAACTGAGGGGCCCTGCCTCAAATCTGCGGCCAGTACCTCGAACTGGTTTTCGGCAAGAGGGAGCTCGAATTGCAAATGCTGAGGTGACGCGGGCCTAACTGGCTGGTAGGCCCTACCTGATTGCAAGCTGCGAGGCAGGGATAGCTGACCTCTCTTTCCTGTCGTGAGACGATGCCGAGGTCTCTCCTCGGTGAGAGGGACGTTCGTTCCGGCAGCGAGGCTTGCCTTGCTGTGTGGCCGGATGCCGAGGAGGGAGCGGCTACTGGGCCTGAGGTAGTGGAGGAAACTGCTGTTGATATTGATACTGGGAAACTTGATGCAGCACTTGCTGCTGATAGAGTTGAAACTGCTGGAACTGTTGCATTTGAGCTTGCGTAGCTCGCATGCATTGCATCAAGTCTTCAAGCTGGTTCTGAGTTGCCACCAGAAGAATGATGGAGGGTTCAGTGAAGGCTGTTCTAATTGTGGAAGGAAGTGGAACATTCACAGGTGCCACTGTTTGAGGCACATTCAGGCTGGGAACTCCATCCGCAGAGAGGGGGACAATGAACTGTCCAATGCAGACAATGAGAAGCTGGGGTTGCTCCTTAGAGGCGTTTTGGTTTGCACCTCGTCCGACATTGCTGGAGGAAGCCCTGGATGCTGAGTTCTAAGAGTTGTAGAGATTGGAGGAAGGCTTTTTGAAGCGTTCCCACAGACGGTGCCAAATGATGTTGCGCGATCCGGGCATTCCTAGCTAGCGGAAACCTAACTCCTAGTTGGCGGCAGACGATACTTGAGGCGAAGAGGAAAGTGAAGAATTCCCGGGGAGCTCGCCCGGCGGGAACACTCTGATGCTTAAGTTAGAACTCTGAGAGAACTGTAGAGAATGCAAAGAGAGAGCTAAGAGTGCAGATGGCGCAAGTTTCAGTACCTTTGCCCCTTGGGGATCGGGGTCCTTTTTTATACTGATGCCCTGTCAAATTGGACGTAATCGTCTCTAGCCCTCTGTCGCAGCCGTTATTCGCCAGGGCTGCGCAGGTAACCGTTGTAGGGTACTACCCAATCAAGTGAAAGGCACGACCCAGAAAGGACAGGCACGCCGTCACCTGTCGAGAGACGTGGGCGCAGACCGCTGGTGCTGGCAGAGACTGCACCATCAGTCAGAAGACATGGGTGTAGTCTGGCAGGTACAGTCTTGCCAGATAAGAAGCTTCCTGAAAACGCCGCATCGCTTAATAGCGAGCTGCCTTGGAGCAAGCTATCCCGTAGCGAGCTGCCTTGTAGCAAGCTACTGGAAGCGTCCCAAGGTGACTCCGCCAGGTCCTTGAGATGGCCCTTTTGCCTAAGGATTGGAACAAGGTAGAGTGGTAGGTCGGAGGTAGAGTGGTTAAGGAACTTACTAGCAGATATACCACTTTGGCCCTAGCTAGTTCCATTTATATCTCTCCTTTGCAATAGTCAAGCAGCAATAGCCAAAGCCAAGAATAAAACATATAACAGTAAAAGAAGGCACATCCGCCTAAGACACAAATTGGTAAGACAATACCTCAACAAATGAACAATCACGCTGAATTTCGTAAGGTCTGAAAAGAATCTTGTAGATTCGTTAACCAAACCATATATTTCTAATGTGGTTTATGAGGCATCAGTAGGAATTAGGTTGAAGCCTGTAACATAAATCATTAGTGATGAACACCCAACCTATGTTAAAGAAGATACCTGGAATTAGGTTAAATGGGTAAAAATGAATCACTAGATGACTTGGGAAAGCACTATCAAATTGTACCCTATTATAGATGCCAAAGTAAGATAGTGCTTACTGCAATTTGAGGAGGTGAATGTGAGATTCTTAATCGGTTAAGAACAGTGTGTTTAGTGCACACTAAATAACCAACCTAAGTGAGTGTGTATTGTGGCCGCTTCTATGAGAGCTCTAAAGGCCCGACTCTCTAAAACACTCATGATTTCAAGAAGGGAACAATGATGAAATGTTCCAAAACAAAATAACCACCAAGGAAAGGTAAGTTGGGTTGGTTGGCAGATTAGCTAGTTACATTCAAAGGGGAAAGGTTGAAGGAGCCTAACTCTACTCGTACTCTATAACATTATTTGTTACACCTAAGTGTTGATTAAAGTCCAAAAGATATCACCATGAATACTTCTCTCACCATAATGCTCAGGTGTCCGATCTTCTTGTAATTTTGAATCTTGTGGGGATTGTTGGAGGGAGATTTAAAATTTCAAGAATCTCTTCTCCCCCTCCCTTTTGTTTTGGTTTTGTCTTTTCTCTGTTTCCCTCCTCTTGCATGTAGGAGACTCTTGTCCCACATTTCTTGGGAAAAGAATTGGCTTTGAGTATATTACTAGGATTGCTCTCTCTATGGGTAGGGACTCATAGGAGAGCAATATATATCTCTACATGCATGTGAGGGGGGTTGGGGGTGCTTTTCACACACATGTGTGTGCTGAGTCGAGTTGAGTCGGGTTGGGACGGGGTGCGGGTGTGGGTGCGTGTACACCAGGTCGTTTTTTGCCTTTGACTAGTTTAAACTATTTTGACTTTTGAATTTCAAAGTTAATTTGAAATGCTTTTTTATCTTCTTTTTCTTGTTCTTTCTGTGTCCCTATGTCTCTTTGAACAGGTGCCTTATTGCACTGTTCTAAAGAGACACTTCTCTTTGTAAAGACACGTTTGTGTTCATTCGGGTGATTGAGAACACTATAAATAGAGTGGTGGTCGACCCAACATTACACCAACAAATTCACTGTTTTGTCTGTCTCTTTCCTGAGCATCATCTCTAAGTGGTTCACGGAGGTCTGATATGCATGTCTACTAGTGGCACGTGGACTGTTTTATCTTGACGATCGATTTGCAATCACCCAGTTGCACCATAGAGGGCAAATGCGGTTTTAAGGAGAGTGACCAAGTGGCATGACTCAACCCTTTCTTCTTTGTAATCTTCTGCTTCGCCTTCACAATTTTGCAACATTATCGATATTTGGTTTGGAAAGCGTTATCGATAAGTTCCATTCTTCCTTATTTACATTATTTACCCAACACTAAGCCTTGGACATTTTGAGGCAAAGGCCCAAAGGTGTAAGCTACAAATAACTCTGGGCCTAAGCCTTGCTGATGGGGTCTAAGGCTATTGAGGCCAAACCTTTTTTCATAACTTGGCCTCAATAGAGCCGGAGCCGGGGGGAACCCAGGGGAGCCATGCCCCCTATGGTACCAAAAATCCTCACTTGTGATATACTGTTTCATGTACATTTCCCCCTCCCACCACTCCAATTTGGCCCCCCTATGACCATCCATATTTATTCCTCACCCCACCCCCAATTCATCATAGGTTTTGGCCCCCTCATGAAAATTTCCTAGCTCCACCCCTAGGCCTTTGGCCTTGCCTTAGGAGTTTTTTAGAACAATTCAGCCAACTTTTCTTTATCCACTAGAATTTTTTTTTCTTGTTGGGTTCCCATTAAAACTGAGTTGCAGTTTAGCAACTTCAATCCTGGCCACTCTCAACGAAGAATGATTGAAGAGACACGGGTGAGGGGCAATCAACCCAACAGAGATCCCTATGGAGTTCTGGCCAAGCCTCAGTTATAGACAGTGTTTTCATATGCTGCAGTGACTGAAAGCATTATGATTGCCACTAATGACACGCATTATTTTAATAAGTTTGAAAAGAAGGGTTAGCGCACAAAACAGTTATAGATGAGGAGAACATATCCATAGAGGCTAGAGGGAATTCAAAATTACATAACTATAAAGCCAATACAAAGGTCCAAAACAAATCAAAGTATTACAAATTACAATGTATGGATTGGAAAGAAGACTTGGGCAAAAACAGAGTAAAGAAAATGAGGAATTAGTAATCTGTTATAGTCAATAGATTCATTAGAACCGCAGTTTTCATCATCGTTGTTGAATTATTCACGAGGAGAGCTTGAATAGATTTGGAGACTATGAACATGTTCATTGATAAAACTAATGATGAAATCCCATCTACTTGGGTATAGGCTGACAATGATGAATAAAATCTCTTAGATCATAATCTGCACACACCAAATTAGTATAAACAGTAGCAAAGGTCTTGAAATATCGTTGCTCAAATCATTAATGGTGGGCTTTGAAGATATATGCACGTTGTGAAAATTTCTTTATGTTTCCACTGTTGCAATAGAATTGAATATACACCATTGAACATATACCGAGTAACCCACTAACAATGTCAAAAACTGAATGTAGTTTGCTTGAAGGGAAAAATCCCTGAACATATGGATGTAATTACAAGAATATATGAAAACTAGAGGTATCAAAAGATGTTGTGGTTTGCAGGAAAATCAATCTAAGATTAAGTTTGTTTGTTAAGCTAAGTATAGTCATCGACGCTGCTGTTTGCAGATGCCTCCATTTGTTTTCTCTTGTATCCTCTTCTCTGTTCATCTTCCTCAACAATGGTATTTGGTGAATTCTCCGTTAGTTTTGTTTTGGATTTGCTCCTTGATTCATCTACCTTCCCATCAACAAATGCTAAGAATGAATGAAGGCGTCTAGACCGTGAGCTAGCATGACTAGAAGAATCTGCTTCACTATTAAACTCTTGGCTGAACTGCCGCACCACCGAAATGAAGTATATGAAGAGTGCCAAAAAGCATGCAATGCCACATATGAGAAAGAGGCCCCAAAAGCTCCTAAGATGAAGCCTGTTAGGTTCAAGCTCTGTGCTCTGCGAACAAGTTTTTCTACTCAGCCACTTGTCATGAATCCTTTGGAGATCACCATTCTCTGATAGTGTGAGAATGGCAGTGGACATGTCAATGGGTAGGGGAGAATCTCTTGGAAATGCCTGATAAGGAATGAAAAATGAAGAAAAAATATCAACCGAAATACTATATAAATAAACTTGGCTTGAGTTCAGCCTATATACTAACCAATTTGTGGGTTGTGGCTGTAGTTTAGTGGTGAGAATTCCTCCTTGAGATGGGGGAGGAGTGATCTTTTTGTTATCCACATCCCCCCTTGTACATTTCAATTCTTAGTTTTAATACAGTTACTCTTTTCTGAAAAAAAGGTTTAGCCTATAACTTGGATACTAGCACCAGCATCATACCCAAATATGCATTTTGACTGGGTTATCTGGGAGGTCCAATGTCTAGGCCTGCCTATACAGGCATATTAAACTGAAAGAGAACATATTAAAAGTACAGAACTTGTGATCAAGAAAACAACAAATATTTATGACAACAAATCTTCCTCTGTTCAGTTATTGTGAAAAAAAAAATCGTCTTTTAAGATATAGGCCTATAATCTTTTCTGGTTTGATGCTGAGTTATCTCTGTTTTCCCGGTTCCCTATTTGATTTTGTAGTAATACCATTTGATCTTATTGCAACTTACTGTAAATTAACTGAGTGATTATCAAATTAAATTCCCCTTGGTCAGACACCGAAAACAAGACCTTTATCTTATGTAAACAGGTATTCATCCATGCATCCAAAATAACTTTGATTGTTCTTGCTAAGTAGATACTTACAAATCCCCAGCCGCTTTTGGTAAATTCCTCACCTACTATTGAGAACTTGCACTGATTTGAGAGGAATAGCTCCACATATGAACGCTCATCTACTACAGCTGCAACTTTCCCCTTCTCAAGGGCTATGGCATACTGTTCTGGTGACCCAAGAGCAACAAGTCTAGATTTAGGGATGTTGAGCTCTTCAATCAAATAATTTTCAGCAAAGGACCCTACTTGGAAACCAATAGGTTCTGTACTTGTTATCAAGCTTTCAATTCCTTTAATTGGTGAAGAGAGCTGTTGAACTGTGAGGATTGATGTTAGACTTGCGGTGTAGCTTGAGTTGATTATAAGAACCACAAATAGCCATATGAGCAACACTGAGCGTCCAAGAGTGCTAACTGTGTTCTCTCCTAAAGAAATCATGAAATCTCAACTAGATAAAAATGTCTATACAAACATCAAACTCCTTTTAAGGACCTAGAATTAATCTTCATATAGTTTCACTTACTATGAGCAAAAAACAAAGTTGAGAAGCTGAACCTGCAGGTTGAGAACAGAAGGGCGTGTTAGATGTGCTACACATGGTGTCATAGGAGTGCACCATTCCAAAAAGAAATGCATGCATTACTTGAAAATCATGTCTGAGTACTAATATCCAATTTATGATCTCCAGACAAGTCTTGGGACATTGGGTGCACATAATGACAGACTGCAGGTTGAGTACTTTTTTACAGATCCATCCACAATTACCAAAACTAAATTAAGTTCTCCAGTTCACAATGATTACCCAATGGGTTCTGTATGAAACCAAGTTGATTTGTTAAATATCCATCTTTTTTACACATTCAATCATAAAGTAAGATGTTAGGGATATTTTGATTTAACATAAAAATTGAAGAGATTCTTAAGTAGTTACCACAGAATTGTAACAGCTTGTTTTCTAGGTGGTCCCCGGAATTCATCATTCATTCTATGTTCCAGAATCCAGATAACTACTCCCACAGCAAGGAAAAAAGCTGCTGTTACAGCCCACATCATTGGAGTGAATGGGCGAAGGAAAGCCCAAGCACTTGAGTTTAGCTTCCTCATTGGGGCCACTACAACTAGCCCTGACTCAATATATGGCTGTGTAAAATCCACAATCTTTGTTCTGTTTGTGACAATTGCAATATCACCTATAACAGCATCAAAGAACTGTACAGATGAAAAATAAATGAAATCAGTAAATAGCATGCACCACTTTACCTTTATAATTTTGTAGTGGATGTTATTAGAGTGCTAGTACTCACATCTGTTGTAATCAAACGCACAAACTCATTATAGTTTGGATTCTCCAAACCATCTCCATAGGGAACAAACCTATATGGAACAGCATATGGCAGCAAGTTTATGGCTGCAAGAAATACATCTATGCAGTAGCCCTTGACCATATCTGTTCCTGGTACTTGTGAAACAAATTCCTGAAAGCTAACTCTTTTGGGAATGCCAATTCTCAATTGTCTCCCATTGTTTGGGAAAACCCACCCACGTGGCTTTGTTGTTGTATCTCCTGGCCAGATTGGATTATTTAGTTTTTGGTTTGAACTTGAGCGGTTGGGTGGCTTTGCATAGAGTATCTCAGGTGGCACAACTGACAGCCCGGAATAATTAGACCAGTACCCAATCTGTCGAAATCCAGTTCCAATCACATTAATGATGTCAAATGCAGGATTAATAAGTGACCTATCTGAGTTAAACCGAATTGGTCCAGTCAGGCCTGTCATATTGGTCTGTAATATATTGTTCAGAAATTGTTTCCCTCCATCAAAAATGTTCATTGCTTTAAGGTTTAGAGTCCCTCCTGAAAAATCACTTAATCTTGAATTATTGGAGAATGAAATGGTACCACCTTGATAAAAAAATGCCTTAACTGCATGAGCTATCATCAATACAGTATCATAGGCATATAAACCATAAGGATTCAACCCAATAGAGCCACCACTGATCTGATTCCACCTAGAAACGAAAGCTCTTTTCTTCTCTGAATCTGGTGTGTGTGGGCGTAATGTGAGAACTCCTTGAATAGAATCTCTCTTTGCTGGAGGAAGTGGAGAGGTTGAATCCAAAACAGTAGAGAGCCAAGTAGTGGTTATCCACACATAACCATTCCCCATCATTCCAAGATAGTGGGCTACATCAAAGACCAATTCACCTGATTTGGCATAAGTTATTAAAACAATCACCCTGGACTCCATTAATGCCACCTTAATCAGTATATCTGTAACTCCACTCCGAGTAGCTCCAGGGTCAGGGGGAAGTGCAGCTTTATAAGAAATTCTGCAGCGTCTCTCTGCAAGTTTATCACCTAGTGCAGCTACGCCATTTCGGCCACCATCATCATCAGTGAAGACTGCAATTACGTCTCTCCAACCATAGTAACTCACCATATCTGCGATTGCAGACATTAGGAACAGATCATTGGGAGCAGTTTGCAGAAAGAAGGGATACTGGAGAGCAGAGAGGGTAGGATCTAGGGCCGTGAATGATAGCAGAGGGACTTGAAGTTCATTTGCTAGATGTGAGAGTACATGGGCCATAACAGGATGCTGAGGACCAATAATGGCCACAGTATCTGCCTCCATGTATTGTAGAGCTGTGACAAGTAACCAAATTAGAATTACAAGGATTAGATAATGTAATCTATGCAAGACCAACTGTAAATATGGTGAGAGTCCACAAGATATGGCAATGCAAAAAGCAAGTGAAAGAGAAATTAACAGAAGAATAGAGAAGGGATATTCAATTCACAAAGTACCTCCAATTATGCCAAAAAGTCCACTATAGTTGGAGTCATGGAATGTAAGAGCCAGTTTGCTTCCACCAAGAATGCTGAGATCAGAATTCACATCATCCACGGCAGCCTTCATTGCAATCCTTGCAACTTTTCCATTTATGGTATCAAAGGTGAAAATAGCTCCGATGTTCACAGAGGCAGGTCTTGAACCGCCATCAGAAAACAAGGCAAAGTAGAGGATTGGCAGTAGTAAAAGCCAAACCAGGTTCATGATGGGACAAAATGACGAAGAACCAAATTATCCCACCCTGTTTACAGAACTGTGCAGTATCAATTATCCAAATGAAGAGAAAAAAACAAAGGAGTGACAACCCATGCACCAATTTAAAATGCAAAGCTTATGGGAATTAGGAATCATCTCTAGTCCCAGAAATCTAAGAAATTAGAATTAGAACATGTATACACACAGAGAGACTCTGAGCAACAGAAACAGAAATCTGTTGTTACAAGAGGAAATAAAAAAAAAAAAAGATGTCAGAAACCTTAATTCGGTGCTACACAAGCACTCATGAAAAACAAAATGTTTTTACTCATCAAAGTCCAATACCCAGAAGCAGAGAAACAAGGGAAAGAAAAACGCAGAACTGTTAAATAAAGCAACGCCATAAATTAAAAAAATACATATTTAATTAAACCTCTGTGCAACAAAGAGGAAACCAAGTTCTTTCCCCGTAGAACAAGGTACGGAAACACCTCAGAGGGAAGAAATCAGTATTGCACACAAGATCTTATTTTGAGAAACAAGAAAGCAGTATTACAAACAACTTTCTACCAAGAAACATGAAAGGATTCATTTAGCTCGGCAGGGTTGAAAGATGCTTGTTCCTGAAAAGGTAAAAAAATATTAAAAAAAGAAAACCCTACCCCACCCCCCCCACAGCCACGAGAGAGAAAAGTTCTAGATTTCATATGAAAAGGAAATAACAACTTGGCTAAGCAGTGATTACTTCCCATTTAAAAAAAAATGAGAATACTTCAACAAAGAGAAAAAGAGAATACTCTATGTTCCCTATGCTGATGCTGAAGGAAACTTCGTCGGTTAGTTGGTTTCTTCCACTTACCACTAGTTTTGTGCTAGCAGTATAGCTGTGGCAGCCCCCTGTTAACAAGGGAATCGTAGAAACTGAAAAGATCACAAGAGATATGGAGAGAGGAGGTTAAGGAATTTGAGTAGGAGCCAGGAGGGTGTCGGAAGAGCACTATCTCTGATATGGGACATGATTATGACAATGACTATGGTAGTGGGTATGATGGTGATGAGGACGATGAATGGAGACGCAAGGTGTCAGAGAATATGAATGAATTAAAGATGGCTGTGGAGATTATTGTTGGGTCTCTAATATTATAGAGATAATAGGGAAGGAAAGGCTCCAGACTCTGCAAATGCATTAATTATGTTGCACTGGGTTATTTCAAAATTTTGTTTTCATTTGTAATGGATGAAGGGAACTTTTGTGAATGTCGTTTCTTTTAGATTGCTATCGTTTTCTTCATTTGTCTTCTGTCTCAGATGTGAGAGGATTAGGAGAGTTTAAATCTTAAAGGGGGAAAAAATCGTGGTTGAAAAGTTGAAACCGTTAAATTGGGTATTCTGATTTGATCCTCTGAGACAAAATACTTGCTACAAATTATAATCCACCCAACGAAGACTCCACCATGAATGAGGACGGATCAGCAACCAACGGGCCATTGTATCCATATGCCTCGGAAAATCTGAAGATATTTTACCTTTCTTTTGTCTATATTCAAGCAGTTCCTTGTTAATTACTGCTTTTAAATGCTTATTTTGCAAAAGCAAATTCTCATGGGCTTTTAATTTTTGAAGATAAGCCTGCAGAACTTGGAATAGAGGGATGCCCTGGTAGACCTAGACCTTGCATGTAATGACTAATGAGTTGCTCTCTGCAATTTGATACTCAAGGCACAGTTGCTCCACCCTATATTCATGGCCACGTCGACCCATTTTGGGCTGCCACATGTTTTAATACCAGAAAAGCAACAGCATATATGCTTTGCCTGGATTATCCTTCGAAGGTGCAAAACCAGGCACCATCCCTGTTTCTGTTGTTATTTGCAGATACCCATTTTGAGTTGTGAAATGCATTTCATGTTTTTTACTTCCTCCTCTTTAGTCAGAATGGTGACTCCTTCACGTCTCTGAAATGACAACGGACAACCATTTCTTTTGTAATTCTCAAGCCATAAGTCAACAAGAGCATATTGTAAAAGCAAACTTCTTTAAGTAAATAAATAAGTCACCTAATGACATTGAAGAATAAAGCTACCAAATTAACATTTTCTGGTAAACCTGCTTCTGCAATGCAATACAATAGTGAAAAACAAAAACCCAGGAGAAAAACTGGGTGCACTCTAGTCTTGAGGGTTGGTAGAACTGAAGCACTCGGCTAATTACAAAGTACAAACATAGATGTCATTGTTTGAAGACCTTTCTATGTGTCTTCTCTTTGAACCATTCATGGTTTCATTCTAACACATTCATCACCAGAAGGATATCAGATCTCCCCTTTGCTGGTATCGTTTCCTTGTCCTTCTTAATACAAACATACATTCATCACCAGAATCATACTTCAAATTCAAAAAGATGCTGACTGAATTGGCCTTCTGTCAAATAGGCACTTGTAAGATAGCCCACATATGAGGAAAAAGCCCAAGGTGAACCGGGTCCCACCCAAGATTAATTCCTTGTGAACAACTGTAAACCCTTGCTTCTCCTCAACCACTTGTCATTGATGCGTTGGGAGATCACCCTTTTCTGTCAGTGCCAAAATGGCAATTGGCATATCAACTGCTAAGGGAGTCATGTTGGGAGTAGGGGGTGTCAATGTTCCGGTTTTGGATCGGAGGACCCATCCAAATCAAAATCAATTTGGACATATTGGATGGATCAATAAGACATTCAATTGGACCATTCAGATTTAATGGTCCAAAGAATTTATTGGATTAGCTGGAATGATTTTATACTAGACTGGATTGGATTGAGACAATATCTGATTCATTGATAGAAGATAAGAATATAAATGTCAATATACCAGGTTTGGGTTAAAACAAATTTGAACAGATTGGACGGTCCAGACATTGAATTGGACTGATCTAAAATATTCATTTGATTGGATTGAACCTAATTTACCTAATTTATTTGTAATGGACTCACATTGGACTGGATCGGATTGGACAAAAACCATTCCAATCGACACCCCTAATTGAGAGTCCTAGAATGAAATGAACAACAAGATGAAGCTGCCACAAGCAATCAAGAAAACATGTTATGTATAGACCTCTCTGGTTTTTATTTATTTATTTATTTATTTTTAATTTTTCATACCAGGTCTATCTAAGGCGTGTATCTATTATATACATGATGGAGGGTGATTTGGCCCGACCTCATAGTACGGGGACACGTGAACATGACTTGGCATAAGTGACAACTCAACGTGACAGCCTGGCCATAACTCAGCGTAACGAACTCGTCAAAGCCCGACTGGACAACTCGGTGGATGTGGCAACTCACCGGGAAGTAACACCTAGCTTACCCTGAATTCTCTCTAAGGGTGGAGTGCCCCGAGCTCCCTCCATGCAAGGAGTCCCGAGCTCCTCTTAAGACCCGAGCTCCTCCCAATGAGCCCCGAGCTCTTCCTTCCTGAGAAGGGAACACCCCGACCTGCGGCTAGGTATCCCGAACTTCGGGTCAGCACCATTAACACTCCTGTCCATACTTGCCTAAGGCCCGCTTCAAGCATAAGCACCTCGGCGCACCCCCAACACCTCGGTGTAAGGTAGCTCGGTGTAAAGTAGTTCAACCTACAGGAAAGATCTGCCTGACAATAGTACCTGCCGAATTTGGAGGCTGCACCCATGTCCCTCGTCAGGCGGCGTAGCGTCTACCATTTCTGAAAGATGTGGCATGCCTGACAAGTTCGTACCCTGCAACGGCTGTCTGCACCCGCCACCTCAGCTCTGGCTGTAACGGCTGTGGCAAAGGCGGTTACGCCTAATTTGACAGGACTCCAATATAAAAGGACCTCGATCCCCAAGGAGCAAAGGTATTGAACTTGCATTATCTGCACTCTTAGCTCTCTCTTTGCATTCTCTACAGTACTCTTAGAGTTCTAACTTAAGCATCGGAGTGTTCCTGCCGGGCAAGCTCCCCAGGAATTCTTCACCTCCCTCTTCTTCTCAGGTACAGTCCGTCGCCAGATAGGAACTAAAATTCTGCCAACTAGAAGTGTCCGAATCGCACAACATCAATACATATTTGCATGGAGTCCGGATGGGCTACACATCTACATATTACAACGCATGCTACACTTCCAATTAATTAATTCTCTACATTTTTTCAATCCAAAAAATAAAAGAGCTTACCACCAAGCTTTGTCGTTGACGAGCTGCTCTAAAAACGCAAAGAGGGAAAAACCTTTGCATTTTCAGAATGAACGAAAAATAAGGTAAGAGATTGAACAACCAAAAATCTATTTTGTCAAAAAAACTTTTTAATCTAATGTTTTTCTTTTTTTTTTTTGATGTTTTATAGAACTCTATAAGTTTATTTCTACAACGACTTCAACGGATTGAACAATGGATTGTCAACCCTTTCTTGTTTTCATGCGAGGGAATGACAATTTCCCTCCTTCATTGGTTCATTCTAGTTGATTTCAATTCTTATCTAAATCAAATAGACGTAGAGTTGTAAATTGGGTTATATCGCCTTCAATTTGATATGATAATACATAGGCCGTGTTGGGCACGACATGATGGAATGGGCCGTGCCGCTTGCAACCCGGCACAATAATACATGGACAGTGTTGGGCACGACGTGATGGAACGGGCCGTGCCAGGCCTAGGGTTTCAAGTCCATGAACTAATACGACACGACACGACTGAACAGGCCATATTGGCACGCGGGAATTGTGCCGCCTGCGACCTAGCACAACAATATGCAGGCCGATTCCAATTCCTATCTAAACCAAACAGACCCATCTGTAAATTAGTTTGTGTCGTTTATAACCTGACACAATAATATGTGAATCGTGCTAAGCACAACATGATGGAATGGGCCGTATCAGACTTAGGGTTTTAGGTCCATGGACCCGCATGATTGAATAGACTTTACCGCCAGTAGCCCACATGCAATATTTTTTGGTTGAAAAAATGTTGAAAAAATAAGTAACGGGAATATAACTCCCACCCGTTACATTTTTATACGTCACTTAAACCCATCTACGTGTTACAATGCAAATGAAAGTGCATTCCATATTGTAACTAGCCCATTCGGACTCATTTACATGCACATAAGCATACATATATTTATACATGAATATACATACACACTTCTGTATCAAATTTTAGTATGAATTGGGCACGGTTTGAACTTTGAACAATTCTGCGTTGACTTTGGGCTTAGGATCTTACTCCGAATTCTTAAGATTAAGCCTGGGTTGAGCTTAAACCCGACCCAGCTCACCTGAGACTTGCATCCCAAGTACCCAATGGTGGACTGGATACAGTCCTAACCTGCCGACTGTCGTGCAGCTTGAGAGATTGATTGTGTCATATAAGAACAGATCATGTTGTGCGGTGTTTGGGTGACTTCTAATAAACGCTTCCGTGGCTTATTGGTTATTAAAAGTCAAAAGCACTCCAAAAAGCTGGAAATATCGTATGGTGAAGAGAAAGACCCAATTCACCCCAAGAGAAAGCACAAAAAACACGTCTAGACTTTAGAAGAAGCCAAACACTAGGCTAGGTTTCTCTTGTCTACACTTTTACTCCATCAGTGGCGGTAAAGGGTAAACCGTTCCCAAAAGTCCAAAACGAACCCAGATTGCAAGAAACGCATTCCAGAGATGGCCCTGTCAAAGCAATTGTGGAGTCTGACTCTTTACTTACTGGGCCATCTCTGGCATTAACTTAGCACCTGAGCTGATGAGCCTTCTCTCCCCTCCACCTTATCTCTTGGCGCCTTGTCTCCTTATATAAAGACATTTCTTTTTGTTTTGTTTCGAGGCTCCAAAACTCCATGGCTCATAACCTTGCTAGATCCCTGGCCCCGGGTGTGGTATGGCCGCAACTTCCTTCTCCGTTTTAATTTGTTTTCCGCCTTTAATGAGATATTCCTAATTTCCAAAAACAAAAATAGGGTAGTTGAAATTGATTGAAAGTGTTGCTGTTTAGGATGGGGCCGAGGGCAATAAAATAACTTCACTTCTGGAGGAGGCCGATGTATCTAACCTGAGAGCAAGAATAAAGTATAGGTCAGAAGCCACAGGTGTTATATGGGGGACGGAGACTCCGACGATTAAATTAGTCAAATGTATGAAAAGGGTCGAACCATGATTGAGACGAAATCACTGAAGAACAGAGAAACTAGAGAGCAATGAGGAACAAAAT